TATATATATATATATATCATTTATCAACAAACCTGCTTCTCAAATAGTATTAAAAAGTTGCTTCTCAAATAGTATTAACAATAATCGAGATATATCGAAACATAAAATTTTAATTTTCTTCTTTTGTGTCAATATTATTGATTGAGCAGAATCCTTTGATAAAGTAGACTATAGATGGGAATATCCAACACAGTGTAGAACAAAAGTTAGCGATATTGACTAATTAGGATAGATCGGACCATTGACTAGTTAGTCAATAATTGGACATTTTACTTGATATAGTTCCTTACTGAAAGATTTTTGATCGTATATGTTTATATGACATCCTTTTTTGACTCAAAATTATGCTAGAAAAAATAGGAACATTTTACTTGATATAGTTCCTTACTGAAAGATTTTTGATCGTATATGTTTATATGACATCCTTTTTTGACTCAAAATTATGCTAGAAATTATGCTAGAAAATATGCTAGAAATTATGCTAGAAAAAATAGGAATACTCTGTATAAATATTTATAAATTCATTACGCAAATCGACGAATCGAATGGTTCGAAAATGGCATTGTTCAAATACAAGTACATTCAATGCATTTCTGACAAATATATCTAAACCTATTTTTATATCAATAAAACATCATGTTTAAATTTAATTAAGTAAAGCTTACTAAAAGTTTAAGTAAAACGTGCAAACATTCGATTGTACTTTTTCACGATATTGTGCGATATTGCAATTTTATATTGTAATATTGCGAAATTATATATATGCGTATAACAATTTCTGTAATTTCAGTTAATAAGTAGCTTTATAATTATTAAAATAAATTGTAAGTTGACCGCTTATTTAATATTATATTATTATACTGGAATTTTGCAATTACTATATAAGTCATAACGACGGTATCAATGGGTTTCTATATGTGGTTTGAAATTGCATGATACAAACATGCAAAATTCCATAATATATCTGGAACGACAGTGTGTCGTTTCGCAGAAACTTTTCGGATATGTGTACAAACACAATTTAAAAAAAAAACACGGTGTATTCAACTTCATCTCTAGAAATATTAGTTTTAATAACCAATCAAATAGGTTATGTTTCCCATTATTACGTCGTGTAAGTATTTCAATAATTAAATTTTATGGTGATTGGATAATATAGTATAATTCTAAGAAAGTTTGTTTCAGCCACATGGAATAAAACACAAGGGTTTAACTGGAATGAAATTTTCACTCTCAAAGCATGAGCTTTGCAGAATTTATCTTTCAAAATTATGCAACGCGAGAGGTTTTAGCACAGCCTCAAGTAATCGTCAACATACTTCTGAGCCCAGAAATTCTGATAAGAATCCTAAAAAACCTGAGTTTGAAATATTGATGTTTAAATTAGGATTATTGTTGGCAACAATAATTTTTTATTACTATTTCCTAACTGTCAGAGAACAGGTAAGTTTATAGACCAATATATAACAGGTAAATTTATAGATTATTTGATACCAATTATCAGTTGAAAGACATTTAATTGCTGAACTATTATTACTTTGTATTAGTTAGAAAATGTGGAGTGGAATGATTTTGTAAACGAACTACTTTTAAAAGGACAAGTTAAAGAAATTAAGATTTATCCAGGTGAAGTGAAAGCTACATTGAGAAGAGGCGCTACATATAAAGGAATGTACGTATTTGGGGACATAACTATTGGTCGTACATCTAACATCAAAAATGTTGAAGAAAGCGTTAGAACAATAGAAAAACACATTGGCATTAGGCTAGGTATGATTATTAAGTATATTTATTAAATATACTTGCTTCTTTTATATTAAAATTCACATAATTTTTAGAGGATGGAATTTCAATTAGATATATGAATGTAAATAATCAGATGGCTCTAACAGAATTATTCATCGTGTTACTATGTATTGCATTCTTTGTTGCACTTTTGCGTAATCCAAAGTTCAAAAATACATTCAACTTTTCCTTTATGAATAAAGCAAAATATACATTAGTGGAACCTTTTTCTGGTAAAGGTGTCCGTTTTAAAGACGTTGCTGGTTTAAAAGAAGCCAAAATAGAAGTTATGGAATTTGTTGATTATCTTAAAAATCCTGAAAGATATACGAAGCTTGGTGCTAAAGTACCAAAAGGTACCAAATTTTTATAATTGAAATGTTTATAGCTTTTTTTAAATATCTTTATCTGCAATCATATAGTTTGTTTCTAGGAGCTTTACTCTTAGGACCGCCTGGTTGTGGTAAAACACTCTTAGCTAAAGCTGTTGCAACTGAATCCAATGTTCCATTTCTATCGATGAATGGATCTGAATTCACTGAAGTAGTAGGTGGATTAGGTGCTGCACGTGTTAGGGATTTATTTGCAGAGGCTAAAAAAAGGTTCAATTTCTTTTCTTATTTTGAGATATAAAATAATACTGTTATTAATGTATTTAAATTTATTTTATGTTATGCTTAAAGAGCGCCTAGCATTATTTATATAGATGAAATTGATGCAATAGGCAAGAAACGAGCAGACTCGTATGTTGAATTCAGTAACAGTGAATCCGAGAGAACATTGAATCAACTTTTAGTAGAAATGGATGGAATGATAGAGGCAAAGGATATTATTATTTTAGCCTCGACAAATAGAGCAGATGTTCTAGATAAAGCTCTATTGAGATGTGGTAGATTTGATAGACATATTTTGATTGATCTCCCTACTTTAGAAGAAAGAAAAGACATTTTTGAATATCATCTTCAGTCATTATCATTGGAAGGTATCCCAAAACAATATGCAAAATATTTAGCTCATCTTACTCCAGGTTTTAGTGGTATGTATGTAATTCTCAATATTAAATTATTTGAATTTTTCTTTTTTTTTTTTAATACTTTTGTTCTGAACAAAATCTTTTTAAAGGAGCAGAAATAGCAAATGTCTGTAATGAGGCTGCATTACATGCAGCAAGTGAGAAAAAGATTAAAATCGATAACAATGATCTCATGTACGCAATCGATAAAGTATTAGGTGGTACAGTAAAAAAATCTAGTACATTGACACTTTCCGAGAAAGAAGTTATTGTTTATCATGAAGCTGGTCATGCAGTAGCAGCATGGATGTTGGAACATGCAAATCCTTTAATTAAAATAACAGTAGTGCCAAGAACAAATAAACGTTTGGGTTTTTCTCAGTATTCTGATTCAAACGTAAAACTTTTAAGTTCGAAACATCTTTTTGAACGTATGTGTGTATTACTAGCTGGTAGAGTTGCAGAAAATATAATGTTTAACAAAATTTCAACTGGTGCGCAAAATGACTTACAAAAGGTAACTGAAATGGCATATCTCCAAGTTCAACAATTTGGAATGAGTCCTTCTATAGGTTTAATTTCTTTTAATAAAGAAATAACAAGTACGGTAAGATATATATATTTATAATTTACAAATGGTAATATGTCGCAGATTTGTAATTTTAATTTAATTTATTATATTTTAATTCAATTAGAAAACTAAAAAACCATATAGCAAGAAACTAGGAAATTTAATGGATGCAGAAGTACGAAGAATAATTGTTGAAGCATATAAAACAACTGAGAAGTTATTACAAGATAATAGAGATAAATTGATAACTGTATGTATGATTATTACATATATAACATCTAAAAAAGTTTTCAAAATTTCTGAAACAGCATTTCAATAATTATCAAAATGTTAAAATTTTATTTTGATTATTTTGATCTGTTTTTGATGAATGTTTAGTATTAATTTATTATAATATAAGAATTACATACTATTTCCTTATATATCTAATAAATTTTTTTCTCTGAATTTATAGTTGGCTGAAGCACTTCTAAAAAAAGAAACCTTAACATATAAGGAAATAGAAGCATTAATCGGACCTCCTCCTTTTGGGAAAAAAGATATTATAGAATTGCAAGAATATAATTCAGGCATAGAATAAATAAACATTGATAATATATATAGCACAGTTTGCAAAATATCTGTATAGTACTAATAACAGTAAAACAAAATGTTTTTATTGTAAATTTTATTATATCAATTTCTGTAATAACAATTCATTTGTGTAACATAATGTAATATTTAACTTTATAAAGAATAAATAATAATAAAAAAGAAACATGGAAAACTTAAAATAAATTACAATATTAACTTCTTAATATAAAAGATTCTTTTTTATTATTTAATATCTTGTTATCTATAGGAAAACATTATTATACTATATAACATAACTATTAGATATAAGACTTATGTCATCAGTAAACAAAGAATAGTGTCATTATTTAAGAAATCAAATGTTTAGAAATTGAATATAAAGAAAGAATAGATATTTAAAGAAATGAATACGAGGGAAATACTTTTATTATGTTTTCACTGTTTACAGTACATTATTTTTTATAAATAATGAAAACAAATATGAAATGTATGTATGTATGTAAAATATTTTCAAAAATCATTAAACATTCAGTTTATTTATAAATTATCAGTAACAAAAAATAGTTTTTCAGTAACAAAAAAAATAAAAGAGAAGAAAAAAAATAACTTTAAGATTATATAGATTTTCAAGAATATCGAAATATTTCTTAAAATATATACAGTAAACTAAACGTATTTTTGTTTTTAATTCCACATTATAGGAACAGTAGATGACTCACATAAATAAAGACACTTTTGATTTATACTTTCAAAGTCTGAGTACTGCTTTAAACACTATATCACAAGTGATGATAATTAAAAGTCACATATGATAAATAAGATCCTTAATAACACCATTAAGTGCACGTTCTAAATGTGTTCCATTCCAATATATCTTTCCACAATGTTCACAAACATAAAAATTTTGTATATTTTGCAGCATTTTTATTGGTACTTTATCAATTTGTATTCTTGTTTTATATTTCGTTAAACATGTGTCAACATTTATAGATTTTGTACTAAGTATCCATGTACGATCGTCATGCTGTAACTCATTTACACGAGTATTATGTTGTAAATCATTATTTGAATTTGTTGCTACATTTGAGTGATATGTAGTGTCTACACAATCTGATGAATTTGAAGTAATACTATAATTATTTTTACGTGTTATTTTGACATAGCTGAAAAATTATAAAAGTTTGTTAACGTTATTGTTAATATTTAATGTATAGTTTTAAGAAGAAAATATATCTAATGAACCTTTTTAAAAGTTTATCCATTAATAATTTTGGAACTTTTGCGAATTCGTCACTGTTACAGTCCTGGCATCGACTAAATATGTCTCTTTCTGTAACTCTAATTTTGAAATAGTTTAATACCTCTCGTAACTGATCATTGGGAGTATCGTTCAATACTAGATAACAATCTTCAGATGGAATATATTGTAAAAACTACACAATATAATTAAAATAATTAATAATTGATATGATTTAAACATCATTTAAGACTATTAATTAAGACCTACTCTTAAATATCCTTTATTACGAGTCAAAAGCACTCTTTTTTCGCGCATTGCTAGTTGAGCAGATCGTTCTCCTTCCTGATCAAATGTAAAATGAGCGCAATCGCATCCACACATTCGCAATTTGTTTGTCAATCCACCTAACATTGAATCACAAACTACACGCCACTGATGCGCTGGTATGAATTTATATTTAACTACTTGGGAATTTTTTTGTGTTTGACTTTCATAATTTGCTTGTTTTACATTTTTTGGCATATTTGCATAATGTAATTTATTGAAATCCGTGGACCTTGGCTTATCAAAAGATTGATAAATTTGATAATTTGGTTTCTGAGAATTACATTTTATTCTTTCTTGTTCCGAATATCTTTGAAAATTTTGTTGTTTATCATAACTGATATTCTTTTTAACGAAATAGTGCTGTAATGAAATATGTAGAACCCTAAAGGATAAATAGATTATTCATTAAACAAAAGTTTACCTTTTGTGCAGGCTTTCTTATATTTTTTTCTGGGGATTGATATGGGATATGTTGCACTTCCAAACACACATCATAAAATGGTATGCCCAAATGTTCACACTGGATTTCCAATGCTGTATATATTTCTAGTAAACAATATGCATCTAATGCTGTAAGATAATTAGTATATAATATAAAATATATTATAAAAAAAGAATAGTAATAGAATCACAAACCAGCATATATTATTTGACTTTCTCTTAATGGTCTTTGCTCCCAATTAGAAAATTGATCAGATTTATTTAGTTTTCGCCCAAGACAAAGCTCTACAAGTTTACTCAAATTTTTTTTGGTGAACTGTTCATTGCTTTCATGTGGAAAAACAAATTTGTAATCTTCCACCAATTTTTTCCATAAATTTACAATATCTAGATAAGCTTGTCCGTGTGTTTTTATTTTTGATAATGCAGCCAAACTATTGCGGATAACTGTCATATCTTGTGCTATTCCAAATCCTGGAATATACATGAATAAAAATAATATACAGAATAACAACTCATTAATTAAAAGAATTTTACTTTACCGAGTTTTAAAATATTCTTGTTTTCAAAGAGGTCTGAGGCTAATTCAGCCCATAATTCTGTTAGCTTGTTTCCCATTGTAGTTACATCTAAGATGTATACATTAACTTTGGTAGCTATTTGTATTAAAGCTAATTCTGTTTGTTTTGTACCTAATAATTATAATAAATTGTATAATTATATTTTATTGAATTATATTGATATTATTGATATTAAAATTGAATTATTAAATTAAAATATTACCAAAACATGGTTTCCATTCTGAATCAATACCAACAATAAAAACATTTACTAATCCATTATCAAGAAACTCCCTAAAACTATCAAAATCATTTACTACTTTAATAGAATCTCTTGATAATTTCAATTCATGGTAATTTACGAGATCATTGTCAATTTCCCAATCGTTTATCTTGCTAGTTGAAGCGCCTTCATTTACAGCTGCACAATAAAATTGTATAAATAATTGAAACAATAATATTAAAAAGAGTTATTACCTTCATATTCATTTTGTTCCTTTCCTTCATATAAGATTGCCCGTGGCCATTTTTCTCGAGGCACATCAAATTTTTTAGCCCAGTATAAAGCTTCAGCTGTGTCTTTGACATTAATTATCATTCTTATAATAGCAAGTTGCAATGTATGATCATTTCCTACTGCATCTTGCACCATTTCTCTCCAACTAGCAATACCTTAATTTAGAAAAAATTGATATTTGTTTCACATTACTGTGTGGTTTATATTATTTAAGGCATCAACATACTTAAACTAGATTCCACATAACGTTTATGTACGAGGAATTGTAAAACACCTTCGCATCTCTTTTTATTTAAATTTGAACAAAGTTCTGGTGGAAGATTATATAATTTGATAAGACGAGCTATTAATTTAGTCATTGGCTTAGTATTTATTATTGGCATCTTTACATCCGGTATGTTATTTTTTCTATAATATATTAAAAACATCATTATGTTTAACATTCATTCATTAATCAATTATTGAAAACTTACGTAATTATTTCATTTAAAAAGGTATGCATGCTATTATCAGGTGCAATTAGATTATCCAAATACAAGACTAAGGTTTTCTGCAAAATAGGACAATTTCCTAAAAATTCTTCAACAACTGTTAACTTATTTTGTAGAATAAGTGGTAGCAGTAAAGTTTCTGGATTTGGAAATTGATCTTGCAATTGCAATATAACTGCATATTGTGCTGCTTCTTTGTATTTTTTTTCTTTAATGATTTCCTATAAAAATGTAGATTTTATTACACAATTTAAAAGCTGATTGTTGAAATGTCTATATTGTAATATTAAATAATACCTTTATTATGTTAAAAAATTCTTCTTTGTGATCTATGAATTCATACGTAGTCGCAACCATTTTAATAAATTCAATATTATTTTGTTGAATGACTAATCGAAATGTTGCTAACTTTAAATCTAGATCTAAGAAATGTTTGTATATCGAGTTCTTTGATTTTAACCAGTTTGCAAATTCTTCTATGACTGTAATCCATAAAAATAGATTAATATGTTTAGTATCAAAGTATCTTTATAATAATTTGTACAACAGCATCTGTATAAAAATATCAACATAAAAGCTGTGTACTTGAAAAATTTTAATATTATCTTGCTAATAATCCAATTTGTATATTTGAATACGCTCAATAAATATAATTCAATTACATTTATGTTATGTACAAATATTATTTATAAACTAAACCTGTAAATGCCAACGATGAATTCTTTTTTATATGTTTAAAGTCTGAAGTATTCACTAATAATCGGATTGTGCTTAAATACGGATCAGGTGCACTTTCAAAATACTCAATCAGCGTGTTGTTTACAATATCACCCTTTTTCCCTAGTAAAAATTCATAATTAACAATTGATATTATGAAGATAAATAAACAATTACTAACAATTTATATTGTGAAGGTAAATAAACAATTACTAACAACTGATATTGTGAGAATAAATAAACAATTACTAACAATTGATATTGTGAAGATAAATAAACAATTGTTAATAATTTTATTGTATAATACAATAGATACTTACATATTTGCCATATTTGTTCCAAAGATTTGAGCCATTCTTTTGTAGCTTCGTCAATACTTGAGAAGAATGTTAAATTCTTCTCATTTTTCATATATGAAAGATTCGTAAATGATGATAGATCATCATTTTTTTCAAATTCGTTTGACATTGCTTGTATTGCTATATATTAACAATATATTGACGAAAGTAACAAGACTAAAGTGTTCAAAATAAGTTAAAAAAAATAATTGAATCGATACGTTTCGTCACTGTTTTGCATGGAGTATCTTTTATTGTCATGTATTTTTTCAATTACAATTTGACAGAAAGAATCTTATCCGGTAAAATAGTTTAGTATAAAGTGGAAAGACACGTTTCTCAACTTCTCGATAGTTACATATATACGTGAAACAAAGTGATAACTTTAAAATTCCCTATAGTACAGTCCAATCTGTCCATAATTATGTATTGAACAGATTTTAATATAATTGTTTCTTCTGTATTTTTTTGAATGTCTTTTCTACAATTCCAACTAGATTTAGCTTTATCATTAAATTATAAGTGATATATGAAACAGTTTCGCAAATATTTTCTCTATTAAGACAGCTATTGTAAAGAATCTAAAATTCATTGTTTTGGAACACACGATTGATGTCATCTTTATTTTGTTTATGATCAATCATCGTTTATTATATCACTGAAGTTCATGCGAGAGATTGTAATGATATGTAACAAAAATTTCGTGCTCTCTAATGACGAATTGAATTTCATTGAAATTGAAGCTTATTTGTTCACTGACTGTTTCAAATATGAGGAAACGTAACCTGCCAAAAAATTGGGTTGTACGAAGTTCAAAGTCACATCCTGATAAAATATATTATTTTAACGTCAAAACAAACCAATCATCTTGGGAGATGCCGACGAATGATCGAACAGAACAAGTATTGTATTTCTTTTTTTCATTGAATATTTACTAATGTGCATTTATAATTAATAATTTTTTAGATAGTAATTGTAATAATTAAAGTAGATTATAAATAAAATTTGCCAGAAACAAAGATTCTTCAAAAAAAATATTATTACTGTTTAGGTTGAAAAAAAATCAGTCCAATCTTCTAAAAAATGTAAACAGTCACATAACATGAAATCACAAAAGGATGACGATAATCAAGTACAATCAACTGCTTCAGAGCATATTGTGCCTGAAAAAGAAACCTCACAAAGAAAGATACTTGTTGCTAAGCGTAAACAAACGCAAAACAAAGTCAATGAGGAAAAAGAAACGCCACAGATGAAAGCGATTCGTGAAAAGATATTGAAGAGAAAAGAAGAAACTGCTCTTAAAGTTTCTAAGAATTATAAATTAACTAAGGATGTTTCAAGTTCTTTATCTTCAAAGATTAATAAAATTAATTCATCGGCGCAGAAAGCTAATATTTACACAGATTCTAGAACATCCTGTACACCGCAAATGCAGATATTGTTAGAAAAAATGCAGGAAAAGGTATCAAAAAGTCCTATAACAAAAAAAACAGAGGAAGATAGAAACAATAATCAAGAAAAGTCAATTAAAACACGATTAAGAAATCAAACTGTATCTAAGCAAAAAACTGTTTCTTCGGATAGCACAAGTCAGAAAGAAGTAAAAAAGAGTCCAAAAGTTGGTTAGTACATTAAAGAAATTATGCTATATTATCTTTTGCAATTTTTCTTATTTATATAATTAGAAAATTGAAACTAAGAAACACTAACATAGGTTATGTAATAATAGAAAAAAATTTGGCAGGCAAAAGGAAGAATAATGAACATGATCCAGAAGATATTCTTAGAGTGCAAAGCCGAAAATCTATGAAGAAAAATTTAGCAAAAGATCGTATGGAAAAACTGAGAGAAAACCTAAAAACAGTATATGATGATGATAATTTAAATAATAATATTTTTACAAACGATACATGTATGTATTATAACATTATTTTCATTATTACAAACTACTAGTTTATCTTTTAATTTTTTGGATAATTATAGCTATGCCATGCATTTACAAAAATGCAGAGGTTAGACTGGTGCGTTTGAAGGAGAGACTTGCGAATAATAAGATTTCTACCGATAAAAATGTATGTACTGATAAACTAGAGGAAACAACAAAAGTATTGATAGATCCAGTAACGACTGTAGATGATTTAATAAAGCGGGCCAATGATGATTCTTTGTATGAAGAAATGGATTGGGAACCATTGGAAGATGAAAAAATCACGTTTGAGGTGATGTGAAGTATTATTATACATACTTTCTTTTACTAATCATATGTAGATGATTATAATAAATAATAGATATATAAATATAAATGAGGTATGACATGTTATTTAGGTTCAAGCTGTTAGAACAAGACTTTGTACAGAAAATAATGTGAATACATCCTGCAACATACCTAGTTTGAAATATCCTTTGATAGCAGAACAACAAGAAAAAAAGCACGTGTACATTGTTGTTGATACAAACGTATTTTTATCAAATATTGATGCTGTTGAATTGGCAAGAGAAACTATTTTTAAAACTTATGATCATTCAGTAATTGTAGTACCATGGACTGTTATACGTGTGAGTTTTTGTATCTTTTATTTATTTTATTACTTATTTGTAACATTCGCAAATGTTACAGGAACTTGATTATATTAAAGATGATAATGGCAAATCAAAATCAAAATCATTATGTTTCAAAGCCAGAAAAGCTATAAATTATATCAATAAACTTTTCTCTTCTAAACAATCACGCGTAATTGGTCAAACACCAGAAGATGTTACAAAAAATAAAGAAAAATTTTCTGTTGATTGCCCAGATGATGAAATTCTACAGACTTGTTTACAAATTCGTGATTTAGGAAAGTCAGCGGTAAGTTATGTATAATATACTTTTATTAAAACTAGATTTCAAATATGACTCTAAATATTTGTTCTTTATTATACAGGTTTTATTATCATATGATGTCAACCTTTGCAATAAAGCAATGATTCATGATATTGTAACGCTTGGAAGAAATGATCCCATTGAAAAAATCGACTATCTTAATGCCACTAATATGAATCAATCATTGTCTGTTTCTAATGATGGAGATCAAGAAAGGTTCAGTCAAAGTTCAACAATTTTATCTGAGGAATTACAATTGTCAAATGAAATATATGAGGACATAAAAAGTATTATAAGAGACTTTTTAACAGTGGTAAACATAAACAAGATATATGTTGTAATTACGTAATATAAAAAAGATATATACGTGAGAATTGATGGCAGTTTTTTTACAGGTAGTCAGTAAAGAAATGTATGCATTATATGGAGCATCTTGGGAAAAATATGTTATTCTAAAACCACCTTGGACAACTGTGACTGTTTTACAGTGTGCTGTAAAACATTGGATAGCTGCTGTAAGTGAATCATTTAGGAGAGAAGCAGAAGTTATTTTGAAAGAACTCTTGCAGATATTTAAAGATAAATCTGGTAATTTTGTTAATTTTATTTTAGCAAGAAGTAGTTTTTTTTTATAATTATTATTAATATTCAAACATATTTCTTTGTTCAGATCAAAAAACTTTGAAGGAAGATAGTTACATTTTGGATAAGTGTAATGATTTGATACAAATGATTAATGTAGATAAACACAGAGCTTTAGTATTACGAATTTCTCAAAAAATTGATGTAATTGTTTTCATAATTTCTTCTATTAATATTACGTTAAAATATTTTGAAATAATTTGTATTTATAATACTGTTATTTTCTAGGAGTTAAAAGATAAATGTCGTAGATATGAATGTCAAATAAATGATTATAAATTATGCAATGCAATCGGAGTTGAAAACAATATTGAGGAACAAGAACGTAGGGCACAAAAAGCTTTTCAGTATTTTGAAGCAGCATATATCTTTGCTCGCGATATGGCGTAAGTTTCATAATTAATTTGTTTATAGTGTGTTATTAATAGTGTGTTCTGTTTATTTATGTTATTAAACAGTGGTATGGCAGCTGAAGCGATAGGGATGCCTTGTAGTTTTCATTACAACATTCCTAATCCAATTCCGACTATGTGCTTTGTAAAACAAATACAACCAGAACTAGCAACGAACGTGAATAAATTATTATGCAATCTAAGCGCGTAAGTTGTTTATTATTGAATTACTTAATAACTATTTTATATGTTATATTGTAATAGCTATATTTTATTGCAGTGTTATGGAACAAGCCAGAAATTCTTCTGTAGACTATCGAACATTGATAAATTTATATCAGATACTAACAGTGTTCTTACCTGAAACTGCATCAATGACATTGAAATTGATTGATATTGATATAGAGCCTCTTGATGTATATTGTTGTGTAAAGCGAAAGGAAGATGTACTGAATAGAGGTTTACGCCAGCTCCAGGAACTTAGTACCCATTTTTGCAGATTAGCAAGCCATCAGTGTACATAGATAGATATGTATACATATATATATCTAATATATAAATGTATATTGACCAAAATTCTTTTGAACTCAGTTATATACATTTTTCATAATGTTGAATAATACTTTAGATGTTACACATGTAACATAATATCATTTGTATGATGAATCTTTTTTTTTACAGAAAATATTAACATCTTAAATATTTTTATTAACAGTTCTGTATAATACAAGAAGTAACTTTTGGAAAATGTGAAAAATAAAAATGCACAGCCAGAATAATAGTAAATATTGAATAATGTTCCCTGGCAATATTTAGTAAAATAATTTAACAATGCTCAAGCGATCGAGCATTACTCTTTTAAAACTAATTTCTGTATAGTTTTGGAAATCCTTCTAAAGGTGGTTGCAACCAGTTTTCTTTCGAATAAGAGGTGTGCTGCGTCTCGATTACGTGAAATGTGTAAGCATGCCTCGATTTGTCGTTTTTATTTGGGTATGAGAAATGTACCACTTGTCCGTGGATGAGAATGCAGGTTCCTTTACTAACTGGTACTGGTCGAAAATTACTAAGTTGATAACAAGGTGCAGCTCTGTCGTAAATCAACAGTTCCTTGGAATCTGGATCTTTGTTTCTTACGTAACGTCGATGAACGCCACTTTTATGAGAACCTGGCGCGATCCATAGGCATCCATTTTCTTGAGTAGCGTCTTCCAAAGCGATCCAGAAACCAATTAGCTTCACTGGGTCGGTGTACAAATATGTTGCATCTTGGTGCATCATTACTATTGTAAAATCGATATATATTCAATTAGCGAAGAAATAAATTAATTTATTTAACGCTATTTTTAAGTTTACAAGTTAATTCATTTCTTTTTACCTTCCGATCCGATTCCTGGATTTTTGTAAATATACATCGACTGACAAACGGCCGGTTCTTCATAATCCAATTGGAAAGCTGCTTCTTTAACTCTTTCATCGAAAGTATACTTCTTGAATGTAGGGTGAAGCCAATGAAGGGCGTGACCTACCTATAATTTTATCAGAAAGAACGTGATATTTATATAAGTAATTGCTGTAGATGGTTATTCTTTTTTTTTTTTTTTTTTTTT